GTTAGGAAATTGTCCCAGATGCCTGATTCCAAAGCCCCATCTCTTAAGCAAAAGAAAAATGCAAGGATACTGGAAGGAAAGAATCAAAGAATAAGTATTGTATGGTGCCAGCATCAGAAACCACCCTGCACGCTCTGCAGTCCTCTGGCCTCCCCATTTTGCTTAGGTGGAAACCACTATTCTCTACAGTCCTGTTATGAGGGTCCAGTGACTCTAGTGTCCCCTCTAACTAATGGGTCACTGCCTGACCCATGTGGGAAATGATCATTTTCTGTCCCTGGAGAGACCTTAAGGCAAGGCTCCTGATTTGGGGGAACCTCAGTATTGCCATATGTACAATGGGAGTGGAGAAACCTCGCCCAAGTATTATTTATTAGAAGATCAGCATAGGGGGATGGAGTAACTGACAAAGAATTGGACAGCTCTGGCACCAAAAATGAAGATGGTCATAGGGACCCTTGTGTCCAGGCTGTGAAAAACTGCACAGAAATCCACAAGAACTTTAAGAATGTGGCATGCAGAGCTGCCCTGGTGGAAGGAAATTATGTCTTCACATCTCTGCCTTGTGCCTCTACATCCTTTTCTTTTGGCTCCAAGAATCTGTTATGAAAGGGAACCAGCACTTTCCATAGAGTTGATTCTTTGAGTTTCTTTCTTTTTTTTTTTTTAGTTTGAGACAGAGTCTCACTCTATCACCCAGGCTGGAGTGCAGTAGCATGATCTCGGCTCACTGCAACCTCTGCCTCCAAGGTTCAAGCGATTCTTGTGCCTCAGCCTCCTGAGTAGCTGGGGTTACACCACCATGCTTGGCTAATTTTTGTATTTTTAGTACAAAATTTCACAATGTACAGTGAAGGGTTTCACCATGTTGGCCAGGCTGATCTCAAACTCCTGACCTCAAGTGATCTGCCTGCCTCAGCCTCCCAAAGTGCTGGGATTACAGGCATAAGCCACCACACCTGGCCTAGGAACAGGATATTTTTATCATCCTAAAGTGTGTCCTTTCTGACTGCTTATTAATCTGCAAGGGAAGAGAAAACCCCACAAAAGCAGCTATTATTTGTGGGAAAACTGGGCACTATCATAAGCAGGGGATCAAAAATACAATCACCCAAGAGGGCAGATGACATCTCGTGCCTCCAGAAGGGACACCATGAGGACATAGCATCACCTAGTAGCACAGCTGCCCAGAATGTACAAAGTCTATCTGTTCACCAGGAAACATGAGACACAAGCCCCGGGCGGAACAGTCTATTAAAGGAAAAGAGGTGACAGGTGGGACTGTATTCTTTAAAAATGTGATTGTTATAAAAGGGTGAGAAAGCTGTGCAACGTTTCAGATTGGAGGTGGCCAAAGGGTCAAGGCAGCTTAATGCAATGCCAGTCTCTAGACTGGATTCTAAGCTGGAGGGAAACCATGGCAGAAAGGAAAGTATTGCATTAATTGACAAAACTGGAACATAGATGGAGATTAAAGTATTAATGCAAATTTGGGAAGTTGGTAACTGCACTGTGGTTATATAGGCGAATATTGAGAATCCAAGAGGTGGGTGGATTGCTTGAGTCCAGGATTTTGAATTCAGCCTGGACAACATGGCAAAACCCTGTCTCTACACACACACACACACACACACACACACACACAAACTGGGCATGATGGCACACGCCTGTAATTCTAGCCACTTGGGAGGCTGAGGTGGGAGGATCGCTTGAGCTGGGGAGCAGAGGTTTCAGGGATTCCAGATTGTACCACTGCACTCCAGCCTGGGTGACAGAGCGAGACCCTGTCTCAATAAAATAAAATGTGAATAATAGAAAACCCCGGGCGAAGGGTATACAGGCATTTCTTTGACTATTTCTGCAACTTTTTATAAATTTGAAAATTTCCCAGATAAAAGGTTTAAAACATGGCCCAAAAGAGAAAGCATGCATTGCAGGAGCACCGCCTGGCATTCTGGTATGCTGGATCCATCTTTCCTGACACTGTGAAAGGATCGGCATCCAGTTGGTAAAATAACCAAATCCTGCCACTCTAGTCCACCTCCTCGTCCCTGCCAGCTGCCTGATACCAGCTTCATTCCTAGTGTCTGGCTTTGGCTTGTTTCTGCTGTCCGCAATGCCTTTCCCTCTTCTTTCTGCCTTCCTGGCTCTTGTCTATTCTTCAGAGCCCGTTTTGAGCCCATCTCCTCCAAGAAGCCTTCCTGGACTGCTACAGCTCACAGCGTATATTCCCCAAAGACACAAGACCAATTTTACATGTCTTTGTGTGATAGTCATTAATCCTGCTGCTGAATAGTTCTAGCTTTTTGATTATGATGAATTAGTTAGGACTGTACTTCCTGGCCATTGTCAGGGTTGGGCGGGGTCATGCAACCAGTTATGGTCAATGAGCTACGAGCGGCAGGGTGTGTCACTTAAGGGCTGGGCCCTCCTTTTCATCTTCACTGGTGACCAGCAATAATATTCCAGTCATGGCTGCTCCATCAGCCTGGGTCAGAGAGTGGCCACAGCAGGGAGCAGAGTTGCAATGGACAGGTAGCAAAAACAAGAAATAGTCCTTTGTTATCTTAAGCCATGGGGATTTGGAGGTTGATATGCTTTGGCTTTGTGTCCCCACCCAAATCTCATCTCGAATTGTAATCCCCAGGTGTTGAGGGAGGGACCTGGTGGGAGGTGATTGGATCATGGGGGAGGTTTCCCCCATGCTCTTCTCATGATAGTGAGTGAGTTCTCATGAGATCTGATGGTTTTATAAGGGACTCTTCCCCTCTCACTTTCTACACATGCTCTCTTACCTGCTGCCGGGTAAGACATGACTGCTTTCCCTTCCACCATGATTGTAAATTTCCTGAGGCCACCCCAGCCATGTGGAACTGTGAGTCAATTTCTTTATAAATTACCCTGTCTCGGGCAGTTCTTTATAGCAGTGTGAGAATGGACTAATACAGGGGTTATTCATTCTCTTAGCTAACCTATCCTGTCCTGCACTTATACATCATGCCTTTACAAATGTTGTTCCCTCTACTTAGAATGTTCGCCCTCCTTTCACCTGGCAAGTGATCATTAATCTTCCAAAGACCCGTTCAAGTATCATCTCCTTGCTAAGGTCCTGTAGAGTTAGAAACATCCTTCCAGGCACTGCTTCTGTTTGGTCATTCAACATCGTGTGTTTACTGTATAGCAGGCGCTATGCTAGGTGCTGGCTTCATACAGCCTCCATACAACCAAGCCCCTGCCTTCCTGGGGCTTCCATAGGGAAGACTTTAAGTTTACAGCCTCAGTCTCCTTCTCTTGATATAAATGCCATGAGGGTAGAACTCAGACCTAGTCATGTTTGTATTTCAGCAACTGGCAGAGAGTAGGACGCCAGTAACTATTTGCTAAAAGTCAGAATTGCACCTCTTTTTTTGAGCAAACCCAGCCCTCATCCATCCTACTGGTGTATGCAATTCACACGTTTTCATGACCCCTGTTTTGTCTCCCTTCCTGGATCTCAGGCCCTTTGGGAGTGAGGCTGTGCCTTACCGTTCTATGTGTGAGTCAGAGCTGCTGGTCCAGGGAGGCCTGGACACACACGAGCTATGCAGCAGATGTCTTGCTCACAGCTCGTAGAAATGGGGATGGAGACCATCATAAACTCATTCCAACAATGACATTACTTATGCAGAAAGTGGCAAACAGGTGACATTGAGATCGAAGGCTTTCCATCTTCAGGTGCTGCTACTGTGTTGTGGGCTTGTCCTTGGGAATGAACAATGGACTGGAGACACAGTCCTAGGCATAGCCCCAGAGTCACTGGTGACTCGGTTGATCATTGGGCTGGTCCTGTCCCTTCTCTGGACCTTGAAGTCCACTTCTGCAGAATGGGGAGTGGATGGGGGATCTTCACTTCTCTGTTTCCTCAAAGACAACCTAAGTGGGTTCATGTGAGATAACCCCAGAAAGATCCCAGAAGGAGCATGTGGGGGAATCTGCTTTTTATGCATTGTTTAAGGGGTGGGAGAACAGCTCTGGCCTGGTCCAGGCCATTGCACACACTGTCCTTGTGGCCTGGACTCCTGGGAACATTTCTGGCATTGGGGGGGGAAGGTCTGAGTGTGCTATTTTCCAAACAGTGCTGCTTCCCCGTCCCAAGAGAAAAAAACTGGCAGAGGAGAGCCGTGCCCTCTCACCCCTCGTCTCTGCATGGTGGTAACACTTCAGTGGGCTCTCTAATGAGCTTGCACCCCTCCCTGAAGCCATGGCTTGTTTCCTTCTCCCGGGAGCCTGGCACTGAGCCCTGGATGCTGTCATTGTCTTGGGGACAGACTCCCCTCTCCCCAGCGCCTTCCGTGGCTCACACCACTAGGTTGGGCAACTTTGGCCCGAACCAGGCTCGCACTCTAGAGATCCTTGAGCGGTTCCTCCATCCCCGTGGCTGCTGAGAGCAGCGCAAATCGGCTCAGCTGGTGCTGTGTGCGCATGTGCGCCTTTCCGTCTGGCAAGTTCTCAGGCTGGGCGAGGGGGGCTGATCTGCAGACACTTCATTCACAACTTGTTGTTGGTTGGTATTTCTCTTCCAAGGGAGGCGGAGGTGTGGTTGCAAAATAAATCTTAGGTTTTTTTTTTTCTCCTCCCCAAAGAAATCATTGTGTTGTAATGCGGGGAGAGCCCGAGCCGATGACATTTTTATGGGGCTGCCTCTGGTGAAGACTGGCGTGTCTGCTTGGGCCATCCAGAGGGTCCCTAGATCTCTTTCTCTCTCCCATCGCCATCCCCCGCCCCCTTTCTCTCACAGTAATACAACTTCAGTTCAATACTTGTCTAGAATTCTCAGTGGGGCTACCTAGGCTAAGAGGGGGCGGGGGCGGGGGAGATGACATCATATCCTCACCAGCGGATTGGCTGCTTGCAGGCTTCAGGAATGATATCATCTCTGCTTGTGCCTCCCCACCCCCCTTTACTTCCAGTCCTTTCCTGGCCGGGCAAGGTCCCCCTCCCCAGCACCCCACCCCAGGATACCCCGTTGCCTTGGAGACCACAGTTTTCCACCCCGTTGTCTGAAGGAATGGCAATTCATTATATGTGTGACGTGGGGGTGAAGGGTGCAGGGAGGGAGACCCGGGCTGGACGGTTGGGAAGGAAGGTCGTGGACAACAAAATAATGAACAAAAATATGTTTCACGCATGAGAAGCTGTCCGAGATGGTAGTGAGGGAGAGGTCATGGCAAACAGTCTTTATGGCATGGTAAAGTGAAGATTCAAAAAAAAAAAAACAAAAAAACGTAAGGAGTGGCCAAGATAGTGTGGAAAACATCCACCCCCTCCCAGAGACAGCTCATTAGGAAGGTTTTGGAGGGAGACTCGCAGGAGGTCGGGGGCTGCTGTGTTATCTTTGGAGGAAAGGCCGTCCCTTCTCTTCCCCTCCGCAGACGTATCCAGTGAGACAACTCTCTCGCCAGCAAGCTTTTCTCAGGGAGCAGGCAGTTTCTTGAAAAAAATGAACCAGATGAGGATCCACCCACCTCCAGAAACAAAGACTGTGGCTGTCTCCAAGAATGAAGCACCAGTCTCTTAGTTGGCATCCCCAGGAGACCAAGGTGGGAGGGAAGCATTACCCATCGAGGTTGTATGTGGTGTGTGTCTGTATCCGGGTGTGTTTCCATGATCTGTGGATGAACTGCATATGCCAATCGTGTTCACTAGGGAATATTTCAATCCTGATTTCCCTGGGACAGGTTAAAGACAGCAGCTGACAAATTCCCCTGGGTCCTGTCCTACCTCCTCACACACCTTCCCCACTGTTGTCTCTTTCCAGAGGCACTCAATCTCCCTGCTTGCGCTGTTCATATGTGTCTATTTATCGTATTTCTCTAGGTGTGTTTAATGTTGATTTTCTTGTCCAGGGCATTCTTTAAATTCAGCAATTCAAGGTTTGAGGTTTAGAATATTGGCGGAGCCTCCTGGCAGGGATTCTGCCTTTTTGGATCCCTAATGATGTGTCAACCCCTAACTCTGTCTCTACTTGGCCTCTTATAGGCTGCCTTGAGGCTGTTACAGGTGATTCTGAAACTGTAACTCTCTAGTTAGAAGGAAAATAGGTGCATGGCAAAAAGAGATGTTAAACAGGTACCCGCACCTACCTGAGTGTTGAAGAATGTTGGGTAATAAGGGGAGAGTCGATAGATGCATTTTAGGAACAGATTGCTTTAAAATGTGTGTGCAGAGATTGGTGTATATTTTTCCCCTATGTCTACAGCATACTAACAACTCAATAAAAGTTGGCTATTGTTATCTTCTTGTTTATTCTTACAGATTTTGTCAGCTAAAAGTGCAGTTTTAAATACCAGCTAAAATGGATGAGAACTCTATACACTATACGCAGACATACATACACATACATGTGCGGGTCTGTGTGTACGTGCGTGTCTCTCTATATACATACATATCTCTGTCTGTGGATCTCTGTGTGTGTGTCTATGTGATTGTATTTCCTCATTTCTGTTTTTGAGCTTTCTCAAATGTTTTGCAGTGAGTAGGTATTACAAATATAATCAGGGAAAAGAAGTTATTTTAAAAAATCGGTCATTGGGCAGGATGTTCCAAAGGGCAGATGAATGTAACTTCCAAGATGAAGTAACCGGATGTCTGTCAACTCAGAAAACAAGGTATGCGTTTGTCCCCTGTGGGGTGGTGACGTGAACCTCTCTGGAGTCCTGTGGCTCCTCTTCTTTCTGCCCGTGGCCTAATTTCTTGGCTTTAAAAGAAATGCAACTTCTCTGAGTGCCAGGAATGGAGGTGATCTCGGGCAGCCTTCTAATCCACCCTCCTCCCATCTAAACTGAAAAGTGGATATTAATCCAAGATTTCCACAATCTGTCACCTTAGAATCCACATGCCCAAAACCAAAGTCATAATTTCTGACACTGTCTCCTACCACCCCCTAAAGTTCCTGTGTTTGCCCCAAGAACCACTATTTTTATCCAAGCCAAAACATGTAAGGTCATTTTTGATTATTCTCTGTATGTCAGTCTCCAAGAGTCACCAAGAACAGTTCATGTTTCCTTCCAAGTATGCCGTTGTAATCATCCTTTCCACTGTCCCACTTTTCGAATTCAAGCCATTTCTTTCAAATTCCAGCTTAAATGCCTTCTCCTCCATGAAGACTTCCTTGATCACTCCTACCTTTACAGATGAACGGCTAACTGGAATACCAACAAAATAAACAGACTTTAGTCCTGCCATCCATTCTGGCCCATGCAGCCTGGCATTGTTTAGTGGATCACACCTGGCTTCCCACCCAGGCCACATGACTCTAGAGAGAAAGACTCAGTAAGGTCACATAGTAGGAGCTCAATAGAATTTATTGGTTAAACAAGAGGAAAGCCACTTCTTCTCTTGACAAGCCATGTTGGTATTTTACCTTCTTCCTTTTATAGATATATCCTCCCAAACACCTGACCTGAATGCCTACCATTTAATTTAAGCTAGCATTTCCCTCTTTCCTAGTCTAATTTCTCACATGTTCTTGTCCTTTAAGATATTGATGAAACTCTACCTAACTTCCACCTTTAGAGTTTAATTATTCTCCCAGTAAGTAGTTCCATATTCTCTTAATTGATTTGAAAGACAGGACAGTCCAAGGTTTAAGGGTGTGGATTCTGGAGCCAGACCACCTAGATCTGGGGGGTCTAATATGGTAACCGCTAGCCACATGCACCATGTAAATTTAAATACATTACAGTTAAATAAAATTTAAAATTCACTTCATCAGTCACACCAGTGACTTTTCAAGGACTTAATAGCCACGTGTGGCCAGTGGTGACCCCACTGGAAAGCACAGACGTGGGACATATCTATCACTGCAGAAAGGCCTAATGCAGAGCACAGGCTAGATCCACTGTGTGTGCAACCTTAAGCAGAAATACTGTATTTGACTTTCTGGGCCAATTTCCTCATGATTCCTACCTTGTTGAGTTGTTCAAGCCTTAAATGAGTGAATACACATAAAATACTTGGAATATGTCTAGTGCATAACCACCACTCACTCATAGTTGGTTGCTACATTCTGCACCAAGCTTGTGTTCTAGCTATGAATTCATCTCTGTGACCTATCATGGGTCTGTCTTGCATTTTTCGGTAACAGCATTCTCAGGGCCTTCTGCCAAGGGCCCTCTTTGATCTCCCTTAAAGGACAGCATTATCTGACCAGAGGTATTCATGGGGTCCACCTTCCTACTCAGTGCCATACACATTTCTTTATAAAGACATCAGCCCCCCTTAAAAGTAAGAAGTGCTCTGTGTGGGAGCTGGGGAGGGGCTGTGAGGTTGGCAGTGAGCCCCTGTGGCTTTCAGGATGGGCTCCTTGTCTTGGTCACCACCAGGCCAGGGAAGCTCTGTTTTCTCCCGAGGACCTGGGGCAGCGAGTAGAGAAGCTGGAATGATGTTTAATCAGCCTGGGCATTCCTCACTGGTGACCTAATGAGCCGGCATGACTAAATGACCATTAGACGGAATGTTTGTGTGAACTGCAATAGAAAAGTTCCTCTCAACTTCCTGAAAAGGAAGATAATATATCTAAATAGCTTCCTGTCTTTTTGCTGCCAAGCAGCAGCCGCAGCAGCAAAATAGATTCTGCAGCAGGGAAATATTTAGCACGTTGGGTGTGCTCAGCCCGTCTCTGTTTGGAAGGGTGAACCAGAAGGGGAGTGAGTGGGGCAGGAGACATTCCCAGATGCCGGTGATGTTTGGAGAGATGATTGACAATTTGTTTCTGGGGGGGAGATTAGGAAGACACGGGCCAGGTATAGAGGGTGTTGAGGAGCATAGGACAGAGATGGGGTAAACTTTCAGGATCTTGTTGCTCACCTTGATGTGGTGAGCAACAGGTCGGGGCCTGGAGCAGTCTTTGCTTTGGTTCTTAGAAACCTTGGTTCATGTTTTAGCAGGAAAGGGAAGGACAGACTGCTTCCTGCCTGCCAAATTGCTTCCAAGCCCCTATGCTTGTCTCTTTGGAAGACCTCTCCATTGCTGTTAAAAGTATGCTTAGGGGCTTTGCTTTGAATGGAAACGGCTACTTCATGCAGTCAAACCACAAAACAGAATCCGGAAAATCCCATCTTCCATTTGCCATGGCTCGAGTGTGGGCACGGCAGAACGTTCTTAGAAGGTCACATCGTATGTCCCCTAAGCCCTCGTCCCCGAGGTGTTTGCAGTGTGGCAAAGGAGGTCGAGAGAGGGAGGAGGAAGCACGAGGTGTGCCCATCTGTGCTGTCCTGGCTGGCAGTGTCCCTGAGGACCAGCTCTTGCAGACTTAGCCAGGTACCTGTGGGCTCAGCTTGGCTGGGACTGTCTCAGGAGTGGGCCCCTTTCTCTACACCCCTCCCCAGACCCCATTTATCCCTGTCTCAAACCACAGGCTACACCAAGCCCTATTAGCAGCTGTTCTTGGGATCCAGACCAGAGATTGGCAAACTTCTTCTTAAAGGGCCAGAAAGCAAAAAAATCCTAGGCTTTGTAGGCCAAGAGGCAAAGTTAAGGCTATTAGGGAGGTACTTATATAATCATTTTAAAATAAAAGAACGCTTTTTAGTTAGAGGGCCATGAAAAAGTGGGCAGTGGGCTGGATTTGGCCTGTGGGCCGTAGTTTGCTGACCCGTGATACAGGGTGTAGACTGACGAACAACTTCTTTTCCATGGATGGGAAATATCCATTGAGAAGTTACTATGTACTGGGTGCTGCACTGAATGCTGGGACATAGACGAAAAACAAAGCAAGACAGAGTGGAACACAGGATGTGTCTTGTCTAATTGCTCGCTTTCTAACGGGATGGTAGATTTCTTAAGAGGTTGCTTCAACACTAGATTGTAGGTAAGTTCAGGGGCACACATGTTCAGAAGGAAGAGGCTGGAGAGGGGTGTGTAGCCCAGCTACAACATGTGGGGTGTGTGTGCGTGCAAGAGAGCGAGGAAGCGAGCAGGCAAGAGCTTGCCATATGTGGCTATTTCAACTTCAATGAAGTAAACTCAAATTAAAAATTCAGTGCTCAGTTGTACCAGTGACACTTCAATTGCTCAGTTGCCATGTGGGCTAGTGGCAGCCATATTGGGAAGAGAAGGGGAGCGAAAGAGAGAAAAAGAAATATGACAAGAGAGGAACATGGGATAACAAGAGAGGGGAAGATAGGATGACGAGAGAGGGGAAGATGGGATGACTGGAGGGGGAAGATGGGATGACTGGAGAGGGGAAGATGGGATGACTGGAGAGGGGAAGATGGGATGACAGGAGAGGGGAAGATGGGATGACAGGAGGGGGAAGATGGGATGACTGGAGGGGGAAGATGGGATGACAGGAGAGGGGAAGATGGGCTAACAAGAGAGGGAAAGCAGGCTTTCTAGCTCAGAGCTCAGAAGATTCCCTGTTCTTTAGGTCCCTTGAGATTGATCAGGAATCTTCTTGGCCACGGCAAAGCAACCAGAAGGGCAGGGATTCCACACAGAAGGCATGAGAGAGGCAAATATGCCAAGATTGAAAGTGCATGGAATTCTGGGAGCAAAAAATGCCAGCCAAGGAAGGGCAGGAGATGAGACTGGAGAGTAGGCAGGAAGGCAGAGCGCCAGGTCTGCCTGTGTTTGTTATTCTCTGGTGGAAGGGGTCAGTAGCAGACTCAGCTTCCATTGCCTCTGCTTCAAAACAACCGTGAGGTACACTCTTGTGATTGTCTCTAACGTTAAAGAAGAGGGGACTGAGGATCAATTTAAGCGATGCCCAAGGGCACAGAAAAGAGAAGATAGGGCTGCAGTGAAATCAGGACCTTCGTTTGTGTTCCTTATACCATCCCATCCTCTGTCCCTCGTAAATGTCACCGAGCCACCCAGACGCTACTGCTGTGCCCTTGGTTGCTCTCGGCCCACAGAGGTTTTGACAGGAGCTGTGGCTCTCCAAGCCACAAGTTCTCTGTGGCTCTTTCAATTTCGATTAATCAACATGAAATAACATTTAACACTCAGTTGCTCATTTCTGCAAACCATATTTCAAGTGCCCAGTGGCCCTGTGTGGTTAGTGATCACCATATTGGACAGCACAGATATAGGACAGTTCAGATATAGGACAGTTCCCTCATCACAGCGAGTTCTGCTGGACAGCGCTGGTGTAGATTCACCAAACTTGGGAGCAGAAATCTCTGTTCTTTGCCGAGCTTCGGGAAGCTGTTAGACGTGAAAAGAAGAAGAGAAAAGAAAGCTCAGCTCTTCTTCACAAACGGGCTGTCCCTCGCAATGTGGGAATGTGTCACCACCCCTCAGTGCAGTGAGCGAGGGAGAAGAGGCACAAAATGGGGCTGAGGTGGGGACTTCGTGTTTTCCCCAATATTACTAAGCAACCGAGTCCTAAAATCTCCAAAGCCAGCCACAGAACTTTGTTTACCAGGAAGAAAACACTTGAAAAGGAGAATATTTGGCGGAAATGCACTTGGGATTAACAGGTCCCCCCTCCCTTTCTTTTTCTTTTAATGCTGTTTTGTTTTTCTTCTGGGTTGTTCAAGGTACTGACCTAGCACTCAGCCCCTTTTGCCAAGAAACTCTTTCCCTGCCTAATTAGCCTGCGGTATTGTTCCTGGGTTCTGGGAAGGGAGGGGAGGGGAGGGTGGAGGGGAGGAGGGCAGGGCTGGGCAGGGCCAATGAGGAGCCTCAAAGAAGCTGGAGGGAGGGGGCGCTGGGGCTGGTCATTAGATACTGAGGTCTTGAAAATCCCTCTGTAATTAATTTTCTCCTGCATTCATTAGAGAAATGTTGGAACTGGTGGAAGAGGGAGGGATTTGTTGCCCCTGGGCTGCTTTTCAGGGAGACTTAAGGGAAGGATGGTAATCTGTTGGAGAGTTGGACTGAGGACGCTGTGGCCAGGGTTTGCAGGAGACTCTCCTGCCCATGGTAGGAGAATACCACTCAAAACGGGCTACAGGGAGGCACGGGGTTCATTTCAACTCGAGCTGGGTAATGGTACACAACTCTTCAGAAACCTGGAGTGTCTGTGGGTGTGAGTGTGTGAGAATGTGTGTGCTTATATGTGTGCGTGTGTATACACACACACCCACCCACATACACACACAAATCACTGCTTCCCAAATATTCACCCATGGATGCTGGATATACAGATTTAGGACTCTGTCTCTCAAGAGCTGCTTCTCTCCTCTTCCTTGTCCCCAATCTTACAAATATAGTTGCCTTAAATGTAGATTAGAGCGTTGCCTGCTTGCATTCCCTCAAACAATTCCATTTTAGTCTGAACAGATGTGATCATTTTCCCCGTGCTTTTTCTCAATTATTAAGAATTCGTTGTGATTACTCTCTTACAATTGACTTTCTAGCACTGTGGAAAAGAGTCCTGAGAAGATTCCAATAAATGCTTCTAGAACCCGCCAGCCCACAGATGTCGTATCCTGAGTCCCCGTGTGTTAACCATGACATTTGGAGGCTGAAAGTCAGTACACATTGAGAATTCAATGCCGATTCCCTGGTCCTGTTGGCCACTTTTATGGAAATTAGAGTTGAGCCCCATGTTTTCTAGATTCGGGTCCTGTATGGATTTTATCAATTTGACCAGTGGCTTAGTGGTTTTTTTTAAGTGGTGGTCCACATCTGACAAGCAGTAATATCATATCTTTAAGCTTGTCTCCAAGGCTAGCACCTTCCATTTACTAATTCAGTGAAGTTCTGTCCAAAGAGGGAGGCTCAGCCTATTTGATCCTGCTACTATTTTCTAAGTGGTCAAACCAGTGAATCAGAGGTATGGGTTTAAGCTCTGGGATCAAATGGTGTCCTCTTCACTGACTGTTAACTAAAATTGATAGATCTCCCGTAGAAAGAGGTCATATGGGATGGATAGGCTTGTTAATGGAATAGAAGATGGCTAGTTCACCTGGGATCAGTACTTTGGCTCCAGCTCTCTTCTGCTATTGGCTGGGCCCAGGCAACTTGGGAGGCTAAGTCAGAAACAGCAACGCTGGGCCTCTAAACACAGAGGCACAGCTCCCAGACACTCCATCCGCAATCCCTGTTGCCTGGTGAATGCCCTGCTTCCCTAAACCTTTTAGGCTGAGGGTGTCCTTGGTAGGACAAAGGCTCTGAGGACCACCTCCCCAGCTCTACCCACTGGCCATCACCAAGTCCTCCAGCAGTGGGAAGAATCTGACCCATTCCACTTGGGCCACATGGCTCTTATTTCCTTTGATGGAGGGATTAGAGGAGAGAGGACACAAAATAAATGAGAAGAATGTGGGGTGCATGCCCCTGGTAGGAAATGGGACTGGGAATGCGGGTGATAAGAACAAGATGGAATCTACTATCAGTGCCCCTGGGAAGCTGTCCATGCCCTCTCTCTTCTCTGGCTCATCCCTACTGCATTCTTCCCAGCAGCTGTTTCAACTCTTCTCCTCCTTCCTCAGGCCTCCACATCCACCCCCATCATTCACAGAAGATGACTTCACCTCCAGCTCACTGAAAGGACTGAGCCATTGGTCTATACTGACTCCAAGTGGCCTACAAGTCTGGCTATGCCATTAGAAAGACCTGGGTTTCAATCTACCTTCTGGCATTTTTTTATAGTGGTTTATGGGCAATTTAATTAACCTCTCTTGGGCTCAGTTTCCTCACATATAAAATGGGGCTGTTGTGAGGATTAAACAGTGCAGAGAACTTACATGTAAACAAAAAGTTAGATTAACCATTCATTGTTACTACTACTAATGATTGTTGTTATAATACTGCTACTATAGCCACCACCACCTGTAGCATTCACTCCGTCCAAGTGCAGCCTCACTTTCTTCCAGAGTCCTACCTCTTGTCTAAGGCTGGCCTCCCCACTGGAACAGAAACCATCTGTTCCTACCTTACTCCACATGGTTATCTCCAGCACCTTTACACCCCCTCCTTCTTGCCAGTGTCTCCTTGGTGTTCAAATATGTTCAGGTTTCACATTTAACTTCCCAAAATTTAAAATTATTCCCTCAAACCACAGTCTCATCTCTTTCCTTCCTTACACTAACAGATTTATCCAAAGAATCATCTGTGCTTATTGACACCACTTCCTTACCGCCCACTCCCTCTTCAACCCACTGAATTTGCCTCTGCCCCACTGCTCTGGTGCAATGGAACTTTCAAAGGTCTTTCTCATCGTCCTCTTCCAACCTACTCATTCCTGCAGGAGCGTCTGGCTCTGTTGATCCGGGCAGTCATCCCCAAACCTTCTTCTCCACAGGTGTCCATGAGCCTGTTTCTCCCTGAATCTTCTTTTCTTTTGCACAAGTCTCAGTATCATCTCAGTGTGCCCCCAGTGTCATCTTTTTGACCCTTTCTCTGGATGGTCTCACACCATCCCTCTTCAGCCATGATTGTTCCCAGGATTCTGCCATCTGCCAAATTCACATCTCCAGCTCTGGCCTCTGCTGTGCTCCAGATTCTCATTGCCAGCTCCTTGCCCTCTTACGCAAGAATATCCCGCTCAGCCCGTCCAGTCCCTATATCTGATACTAAACTGTCAGTCATCTAGTGGGTCTGCTTATTTTTTTCTCCATCACTCATCCTGTAATCATTGGTCTTGTTGAACCTACCTTCAAATTTGTCCTTTGATCTAGTACTTTGCCTTCCCATGAGTTCTCTGCCTTTGGAAGTCCCTGCCTCCTGCTTGGATAGTTGATATGGCCTCTGAATGGCTCTCTTTGGTCCAGCCTCCTTTTGCCCCTGGTTTCTGTGTCCCATGGACAGCAGGGTAATCTAAACTGAGAGTGATCATGTAATTTTTCATCTAAATGAAAGTGCTTTTATGAGTGAATGGGGATTCCATTGATAATTATGCCAGGGGATTATCCTGGGCAGACAGAGATGTGCGTTCACTGTGTTAAAATGACGTTCTGATTATGTCATTTCCTGATCTGAGAATCTTATGTGCCCCTCCCCCATGATAACATGTAATCTTGCTCATGTTTGTAATTCCAGTGATTTGGGAAAGCCGAGGCAGGAGGATCATTTGAGGCCAGGAGTTTGAGACCAGCTTGGGCAATATAGTGAGACCTCTGTCTCTATAAAAATAAAAAAGCTTATCCCGGCATGTTGGTACATGCCTATGCTCAGGAGGCTGAGGCAGGAGGACGACTTGAGCCCAGGAGGTGGAGGCTGCAGTGAGCTACGGTTGCACCACTCCTGCCTGGGCAACAGAATGAGACTGAGTCCAAACAAAACAAAACAAAACAAAACAAAAAAGAAACCATGTAATCTCAGCACTGCATCTGTGGCTCTGTCATAATCTGGCCTCCTTCAGTTCTTTGAGGAGGGTGTGAGACCACCCAGGGAGAGGGTCAAAAAGATGACACTGGGGGCACACTGAGATGATACTGAGACTTGCACAAAAGAAAAGAAGATTCAGGGAGAAACAGGCTCATGGACACCTGTGGAGAAGGTTTGGGAATGACCGCCCAGATCAACAGAGCCAGACACTCCTGCAGGAATGAGTAGGTTGGAAGAGGATGATGAGTAAGACATTTGAAAGTTCCATTGCACCAGAGCAGTGGGGCAGAGGCAAATTCAGTGGGTTGAAATTCAGTGGGTTGAACCTCACTCACTCTGGGCTCTCTCTGCACCTGACGGTCCTTAATGCTTCATCATTTCCTGAAATGCTTTGTCCCCTCCTGTCTTCCGCCTGTGCTCTCATGGTTCCCTCCCAGAAGCCCCGGCTGTATCTCCATCCTTGCCCTTCAAGGCTCAGCTCACATGCCACCTCTTCCCTGAAGTCTTTACTAATACCGGCTGTTTGAATGAGTTTTTTTACTCTTCTCTGTTCTGGCAGCACCTTTCACAATGTACCCAGTATTCTGAGTTATCTGTGTACACAGATGTTTTCCCTGAAGACCCAGCGCTTGGGGGACAGGGCTGGGTAACATCCTTCTCTGCAACTCTGAGAGCTATTAGCATGGTTTCTTGCTTCACGAATGAAGTGGGGATGGAATGTTCTAAGCACCTTCCCTGTGCTGAGTGATCACATGGCCCCTGTTCCAGCTTCACAGCCCTGCATGATGGAGATCATATATATGCTTCCCACTCCCACCCTGCTCCTTTTATTTATTTTTTTGTTATTTTTTTGTTTTCTTTTGTTTTGTTTGCGGTGGAGTCTCGCTCTGCGCCCAGGCTGGAGTGCAGTGGTGTGATCTCGGCTCACTGCAACCTCTGCCTCCCAGGTTGAAGAGATTCTCCTGCCTCAGCCTCCTGAGTAGCTGGGATTACAGACATCTGCCACAACGCCCAGCTAATCTATGTATTTTTAGTAGAGACAGGGTTTCACCATGTTGGTCAGGCTGGTCTCGAACTCTTGACCTCAGGCAATCCGCCAACCTCAGCCTCCCAAAGTGTGGGGATTACAGACTTGAGCCACCGTGCCTGGCCATCCTTTCTTCCTTCAAATAGAAGAAAGATAAGCCTGGAGAGATGAAGTAATCCACATAGTTGGGGAGTGACAGAAATGCTTTTCAAACTGAATCTTGTCTTCTACTGAGAAAATGCCTACCATGTGGGATCATGAATGACTTCTAATCCTATGGCCTTCCCATCCACCGTGTTGCCCCTAATGATTGTTTATTGAACAAGATTTCATAAAAAGATGGCACGGGACAGTGAAATTCACAATGGGCTCTCAACGTGCTCTTCCTCCAGCAAAACAATCCCCAAACATTTCTATTCAGGGGAAATTAGAGTAAAATATCAATTGAGGTCAATATTGAGCAGAAAAGTAAGTCATAGAGCAGCTGCCTAACAGAGATTGTAGGTGGAGGTGAGGGTTGGGTATAAATATTTTCTGCCTTGGTTATGGTGTGAGAGATTCCTTTTTAAGCAAAATGACCTATTGGAACTTTCAATTTTTAAGATGCAAAATCTCCTTGTTCTCTTCTCGTTCCTCATCACTGTTTAACTAACAGGATGGCTGCGTCCCTAAGGAAAGTTGACCATCGCCAGTGCCTGCCTCTTGGGTGCAATAGAAAGTATGACAGTAAGATAAAACCAGTCAAGGGAATCAAACCCGAAAGCCAGAAGAGGTCATTGGGACGACCCTTGAATGAATGACTTTTCTTGCCACGTGAGTCATTTTCACTTGGTGGTTCTCAACTGTGCATTTGATGTGTTTGTACGGAAAAGCGACAAGGAAGTAGAGGCCCTTGGAATGCCACTGTCATCCTATAACTCCCTCACTCACCATCTGATATATGGGCTGCTCTGAGATGTCATTTCTGCCTCCTGGACAAGGCCCCAATGTCTAAAATGGTTTAAACAAGGGGACTTTATTGGAAACGTACAAAAAGAATTGGAGCAGGAAAGGAAAGGTGGAGAAGGCAGAAAGGCTCCCTACCTATACCGGGTAATGACCTATGCATGTATTAAGGTGAGTGATATAAGACTCTACTCTCCACAAGGGAACTTCCAAAGCTTTGTATCATACACATATACTTATTGTTTACATAAGTTTATGGTGCATCCTTGCTGTGAGGGTTCTATTTGTCTAATACAAAACTTTCCCCACCAAAAAACCATCTTATGGACCCCTCGGAGCAATGCCTGGGATGCAGCACATTACAGTTCATCCTTTGTCTCTCTCCTTCTCCTCCTCTGGAACACAGTGGCCAGAAGGAAGATGGAACCACAAACCCAGGAATCTGAAAATCTCATTGTTGGTATTGTGCTGAACCCCTGTCAACTCCAGTGGGGATGGCACCAGGTTCAGGAGGCTGGAGACGAGACCCAGAGCCAGCAGATGAGACATGGGCTGGGGGCTTACATACAGGGGAGAGAGTCCGGTGGTGGTGGGCTGGGCAGGAGCTACTTGCAAAGAGCATGCAGTTTATGTAACATTTTCACTTAGCACCCTTCCCCTGACAGTCTCCACCTGGCAACCTTTGCTGGACTCCCAAACAAAGAGCCTTGATCCCTGCATGGCCCATGTTCCGCAGGAAGGGCTGGGCATTCTGATGTTCCTCACAGATAAAAAATGAATCTCTGCGTTGGCTCCTCCCAGACTCCTTAGCTTGGAACTCTGAAAACACAGTCAGGTGCATCTGCCATACAGCGTTGTTCTCAGGGTATGCGTAAGTTATTGCTATCAGGTGCATTTACCATACAGTTGGTAGAGAGGGGAGATCTCGAATTAGCCACCAACTGTTCCAAGTCCCTGCAGCTCCTTTCAGTCATCAACTCCTATTACACCAGATGGGATAAGGGCTGCAGTGGGTGGTGGCAAAAGAGGTACTTGGAGAGGGCGCTGATGCACAAGAAGAGGGAGGAGTTATACAAAGAGGCGAATACAGATCAGCCCGGGAGTTGTGACCTGTTCGATTTCCCACCGGGGCCGGTTCACCCCTCCTGAGGCAACCTGGTGGTCTCGTGCTCTCGGGAGGTCACCAAATTGATCATGTTGATGGTGAATTTAGTGCAGATGCCTGATCAGCCCAGAACTTCTGGACCCAAAGATCCTCTTATCTTAGGCACACGGGAATGAAATAATGTCTTTTGCACCAACTTGGATGGAGTTGGAGGCCATTATTCTATGTGAAGTAACTCAGGAATGGAAAACCAAATATTGTACTTTCTCATTTATAAGTGGGACTTAAGCTATGAGGATACAAAGGCATGAGTGATATAATGGACTTTGGGGACTTGGGGTGGGGAGAAGGTTGGGAGGGGGTTAGGGATAAAATACTGCATATTGGGTACACTGTTTGGATGGCGGGTGCACTAAAATCTCAGAAATCACCACTAAAGAACTTATCCATGTAACCAAAAGCCATCTATACCCCCAAAACTATTGAAATAATAAAAACGAAAAAAAAAACCCAAAGAGGTGAATAAACAAAGCCTGGGAGAAGTACCCTGGCTGATTGCTTCTCAGTACATTTCAGACTGATTGACTCACTAGGAATGTGGGGACAAGAACCTTACCCCACCCTTCTAGAAGTCTCCCCAACTATACTTGTTTGAGACTATACATAATTTGGGCCAGGAGAGATTCAAATCATCTAGACCAGGTGTCAGCAAACTAAGACCAAGGCTAAAACTGACTTACTGCCTATATATATATTATATAATATGATATATAATATATATTATATATTATATATGATATATAATATATATTATATATTATGATATATAATATATATTATATATTATATAAAATATATAATATATTATATATAGAAATATATAAATTTTATAAATACATACAATTATATACAATATATGTAAAATACAATATATATTATATATAAATATATATTTATAAAAACATATAAACAAAATATTATATATAAACATATATAATATATATTATAATATAATATATAATATAATATAAATATATATAATAATAATATAATATATATTATATTATAAATAATATAAAACATATATAATATAATATAATTATATTAATAATATGGCAACCAATGGGCATGGCTGTGTTCTAATATAATTATATATATATAATTTATATATATTTTTTATATATATTATATATAATGTATTATATATAAACATATATAATATAATATATAATATATAATATATAAACATATATAATAAATATAATATAATATATAATATAATATATAATAAATATAAAAAATATATAAATTATATATATATAATTAGAACACAGCCATGCCCATTGGTTGCCATATTATCTATGGCTGGTTTTGCCATACAACAATAGAGTTGAGAAGTTGCAACAAAGACTGTATGATCTGCAAAGCCTAAAATATCTGCTATCTGGCCCTTTCCAGGAAAACTGTAACCACTGAAAGTCTGCTGTTTCAATTCTGGGCAAGATGCTATGGCAGAAACGGGACCATGATGAACTACTTAGAAAAAAACATAAGGCCATGTGAGCTCTTAAACAAGTTTTTGGTTATATATAAAGTAGAAAATAAAGAGCCACCCCTAATTCTATCACCCTCTAGTAAGAACTGTTAATATTTTGCTGTGTTTGCATTTAGCTGTCTCTGTACACATATAAAAATAAAAGTATATATAATTACATAATTAAAATCCTACTGTGTTTAGTTTTGTATCTTCTATATGTTTGTGTTTTACAGTTTTTGGTGACCATTTTAAATGTCCTTGAAAATGCCTTGTTAACATGACTTTTAATAACTTTTTAATATATGTCACGACATCATTTGACTTCTAGGTAATTTTTGGTTATTCCTAATTCAAAATATTGTTTGCTATATCAAACAGCATGAACAGAAATTTTTGTCTGATTCTTTGATTATTTCCTTGAGATAGATTCCCAGAAGTGGAATTACTGGGTTAAAGGGTAAGGACAATTTTCAGGGTCTTGATAACATATTGCCAAATTGCTTTCCAGAAAGATTGTACCAATTTATGTTCCCACCAGCAATGTACGAAATTGCCACCTTACCCTACTCTCACCAGCACTGTGCACTATCATTTTAAAAAGTTACCAAATTGATAGGCAAAAATTGCATTTTGTTGTTTTGATTTGAATTTCTTTGATTACTGGTGAGGTTAAACATTTTTTTCATATGTTAAACACTTCTTCGTATGTTTATGGCCAAAGGGAATCTTAATAATGGTCTTCAAGTGTGCAAAGGGGTTATTTAGTAGATTGGGACCAGCTGTTCTCAAAAAGAAACTGGAAACATTTAAACTTCAGCAAGAAAGCAATAGGCCAAAGGTTCTTCAGTGAAAGATGGTCCTAAGAGTGGTCAAACTCTACTGAAACTTATGATACAGCTCAGCATCTCTTTACTCAAGGTGCAAGGAGAACCAAGAAAAATAGTTGTAAATTGCTGGGTGCTTGTAAGTGCTAGAGATACTGCTCACATGTACATATGTTTGCATTTAAATGCTCACAAAAGCCCTACAAGAAACATGGGACTTAGACATAATTTATTATTGATTATCCAAAGTAGGATTGGAATCTTCATCGTAAAATCCTGGATTCATAACCATTCTGCTATAATGCCTCTGAGAGAACAGAAAATGAACTTTTCTGGCTCAAAGGTTTTGCAAATTCTTCATAAAATGAAGGAAACGTGAATTCACCTCCCAACCCCTCAGCATGACATCTTCTCTCCAGCACAAATCACAGCCTAGTTGTTTGCTGCATAAACCTTTTATTGGCTGCCCTTTCCTTAGGACGAGAGCAAAACCTTTGACTTGACCCGTACCATCAGCCTGGACTCTGCTGATTCCTGCCCTCACCTCTAGTTTGCTTCTCTTCAGCCCACCTACTGGACTAGATCCCTATCTATTTCAGGACATCTTGCAAAAGTTGTTCCCTTTGCAGAAACTGTCTCCTTACCACCAGTCTCTAACCACCACATGTGTGCATGCATGCATACACACACAAAAACATACATGGTTCTCTTGATATGTCTTGTATTTCTCCTTCAAAGAAATATTGTGTGATTATTTGATGAATGCCTGTCTCTCCCACTGGGACCATCAGTTTAGAAATGATGTGGATATGCTCACCAAGTTATTTGCAGAGCTTAGCAGAGTGGGATAGAAGAGGTATGGAACAAATATTTATTGACTAAATGGACGAATGAGTGAGTGAATGAAAATATAAGCTCCCTGCTACTATACCTGGGCTGTGCATGTTCTCAGTATTACATCCAACCTGGTCCTGGTTTTTCCCTCTGCCTATCCTATCCCTCTTTTTACCCCTAACCAAACAGCTTTCCTAACCTCTTCAGCCCCTCCGATTGTCAGCTCATTTGGAAGTTCATGGAGGGTAGGAACAGCCTCTCATTTCTTCAGTGGCTGTCTCAGCGTCTAGCAAGGGGCCGTGGACTTAGTCAGTACCCAGCGTTTATACTGAGTGAATTCATTTGGACAACTGCTGGCTATCAACCTGCCTCCTTTTTGCAGACCCACGCCGGAGACCTCACCAGGTGCACATATTTCCTGCTGCTGAATGGCTTAGACTGGGATTTGCAAGGAATCACGAAGTTCAAGACCTCTGCCTTTCTTTTAGAAGAAGGCACCAGCTGGTTCTCCAATGTTGAAGGTCTTCTCCAGAGATGTGAGTTCATTCCAGGACCCATGCCAGCATTTAAACAGTGCTCTGATCCTTTGTTCAGGGCAAGATAATCAGATGGTCAGTGCAGAGGACTCCCCATGATACCAATTCTGGCAGTGGTTGGGCAGGGTTTGCTCTTGTGATCAGACACAAGGTGAACCTGGGCAGGGATTTTTGGTTGTTTTTATTTAAGGATATCCCAGACCCTTTGAGCAGTATCCGGCACATAGCAGTACTCAAAATTGGATGGATGAATCTATATATTCCTGGGCCACAGGGGCATGCAGAAGGAGTGAAAACACAAGAAGGAAGACATTGTTTTGGCTGCTGACATTTCCTGAGAGAGCTGAGGAGTCCCCTTCATTTCAGGCATGGGACCCAGATGGCTGAGTGATGGGTGAACAGCCCTTTTTCTCCAGCTCTGCGTGCCTCATTCCCAACCCTCTATCCTGAGCTCCAGGGAAGGCTCTCATGCGATTTAGCATCAGAGCTCTAATTAGATGACTTTCTTACTCTGGGCACATGTCTGGACCTTCTGGGCCACTGGTGGAGGAATAGAGGAAGAAACCCCAGCCCCTCTGGTGTGTGGTGGTCTGGGCCCCTTCAAATTGGCCACTTCCGTATCCCAACCCCAAGCACACCTGATCACCATATCCCTGGTACTCCCATGGAATGGCTGTGATGGTACCTGGATCAACGCATACATTTGGGCATCTGCATAGCGCCATATTGTTTTCCGTTTATAACTTATCTATTTTGTTATCCATCTATGCACCTGTTAATCACTCACTCATCACAAGGTCTCTGAGACTATACTACATTTTAATTATGTTTCTAGGGATGAATGGTGATACAAACCTGAATGAGACACCTCTGTAGCATTTGGGGCTTCTCTGTACCCATCCTCATTCACTGTCCATGTCAGGGAAGCAGGGAGGGTGGTGTGGAGCAGGGACTAGGGCCAGACATCTCTGGGTTGGAATATGGGTCTGCCACCTGCTCTGTGACTCTGCAGCTTAGAGAGGTTAAAGGACATTGAAACATAGAGTTGATAATAGTACCTATGTCATGAGGTTATAGAGAAACACAGAGAAAGCCATCAATTAAGTTAATGGTTGGTATTTTTATTTACAGACCTTAAGGTGTGGGGAGATTACAACTTGCTTAAGGTCTCATAGCTAGAAGATGTCAGAGTGATAACTTAAACCATGTCACGTGACTCTAAGCCCAAAGAGGCCTCTAGAAGGTTGTTTGATCTTCTGAAGGAAGCACAAATCACCATTCCAACATGAAAGGTGGAGAAACTTAAGTCCAGAGAGATTTAAAGGACTTGTCAAAGGCAATGAAACAAGTGGTATGTGAGCTTAGGTCTCCTGGCTTCCAGTCCAATGTTCTTCGAATATGATTTTCAGCCACTGGGAAGGCCAAATGGTACATGAGAGTAAGTCACTTAGGATAAAATAAAAGTCCATGCTAAAAATAACCTTCCACCTTGCAAATGAATGGGATTTCCCTGAAGGAAAGATAGACTGCTGTAGAACACCATAAAGTTAGCTTTCTGAGATCCTTTGTCTACCCAGTGTCTACCCAGCTAGTACACAGTGTGCAGCCACTCTGCATGGGAAGTTCTGGGAAGGGTTTCAACCAGCACACTCACTCCTGCTGGTTGTGACCAGCAGGACAATTGCTGAGCCACATTCTGAGCACCTTCACGTGGAAGTGGGATCTTACAGAAATCTAGGGCATAAAGGAGACAGGGATATTAGACCCTGGCTACTTTAACATACTCACTTTACAGATGAGGAAACTGAGGCCCACGGAGGATAAATGACTTGCTCAAGGTTAGCCAGTTGGTCAATGGCAAAGATTAAACCAGAATCCAGGTCTTCTCTCTCCAGCCAGAGTCTTCAAGTAAAGTCCCTAGGAGGTCAAGCCAACTCTTGCTGCTGCTGCCAGTCTAAGGACAGATGTGGCCACTTTCTCCAAAGTATCTCAGAAAGCTAACTTTATGGCGTTCTACAGGAGTCCTAGCTTTCCTTCAGGGGAACCCTACTCATTTGCAAGATGGAAGGCTATCTTTAGCATGGACTTTTATTTTCTCCTAAGTGACTTACTCTCTCATGTACCGTTTGGCCTTCACAGCAGCTGAAAAGACAGTTCCTAGGAAAATCTAGAACATTTATGCTTATGTGTGTTGCAGTTCTCCTTAGTGAGTAGAAGGGCAGAAGCCCATAGTGGGTGGTGTTTAGACTGGGAGGAGGGAGACGCTGGAGTCAGCCAGGGAGTGAGGACTAGGTATGTTCCTTTCAAGTGGGATTTGTTCAATTGCAAGTGAGAAAAAAGCTAAACTTAAACTAGACTTAAAAAAAAGAAATCCATTGGCTCATTTAAGAACTACCACAACTCCTTCAGGCACAGCTTGATCTAGAGATTTAAATCATGTTAAATCATTTAAACTACTTTATTTGCCTCCATCTGTGGTGGAGACCTTTGGGGTTCATTCTTAAGTAGTTCTTACCTTCTGGGTCACATTGGACGGCCATATTTCCCTGTCCCTTTGAGTTTAGGCAAGTCACATGACAACTTCTAGCCAATAAAATGAGTGTATTATGTCTCTATTTCCCACTTCAGGAACTCTGAAAGCCGCATGTTGAGATGGCCTCATTACAGATGGAGAGCGCCTGAACCCCCAAGTTAAGGAACAGCAGAAGAGAGTTGCCCTGGAAAATCATCTGACCCACATTGGACTTTATGTGAGGGAGAAATAAACCTTTATTATGTTAAGCTACACAATAATAATAATAATAACAATAATTGTGTTTATTTGTTACCTCAGCTTAGCATGGCCTTCCTACCTGACACACATCTCTGGGTTTTGCTCTTCTCCGCATTGGTTTAATTCTCAGGCAGGTTCTCCCTCCGGGCTCCTGGGCTCACACCCCCATGTCCAGCAGAATGAGCCACTTCTCTAGATTCATGAACCATGAATCTAGAGAGGGCAGCCTGAGGAATGTGCTGACTGGCCAGGCATGGGTCAGGTGCCCTCCAGGGCAAGACTGATACTGGGTTTTCCAGAGAAAAATGGGGACACTGGTATCAGAAGAAAGGTGAGCATCAAGACCAAGATGTCCACACAGGTCTGGTGAGTCCCCACCTCAGTGATAGTCCCCCTGCACGGCCATGGATGAAGGTTGGCCTTGCAGCTAAAACCCAGGCTCTGGAAGCCCATGCTCTCACCCTGGTTCTCAATCACTTACTATAGGTACCATCTTGAGCACGTAGGTGAAACTCTTTAAGAGTCAGTCTTCTCACCTGCAAATAGTAATAATTATGGCACCTGATTGCAATGACCTGAGCAAGGCTAGCTGGCTCTTGAGGGCAGCAGTTGAGCAGGAAGGGGAACTCTACGTGGACTCCTGTGAACCCCAGGAATAAAAGCCTAGGACACACCAAGGCGCCTCTGATAATCACCACTACTACCCTTCTTGAACAGGAAAATATTCTCAAAACAGATCTTCCTTTTGTAAACCTTTGAGCCCAGGGCAGCACAGAAGTTTGCAGGTTTTCAGCTCGTGCTTCTCTTCTCCACTCCTGTCTTTTACACTTAAGGTAACTGCAAAGCAAGATAAGGTTCTAAAGTGAGCACTCTTTGTGGGGTATTATTTATGGGCAGCAAATGGGACAGAGACTATTTCCCCTTCCAGGGGACTCAGGGTCTCTGGTATAAAAATGTAGGACTGGGGTGGTGAGAGTTCAGAGGGTGGAAACGGTGATTGGCTTCTGAATTTGCGGGCACAGCCAGATGGTTCTGATGTCGACATTACCCTTCCCAGGCTCACTGCCATCACTTGTGGGGAAACGCCAACTTGTGTGCATTTTGAGTGTGTCTTTGCAAACATCCTGCAATCACATAAATAACTGGGCTTCATCTGCCCTTCGCCTTCCCATTTTGTACCCACATTTCCCATAGCATTCCACTTCTCCACATTGTCTCGCTGTGGAATTAAAATGCTCCTTTCCAGAGCAGCAATTAGAGAGATTATTTGACCGGACCAAGACTAGGGACTGGTACTTCTTCCAAAAAGACCGGGTGTTTATTATGTACCAGGCACAGGGCTTAGAATTTTGAATGTTTTATCTGATTTAATTCTTCCAAAATTTCAGTGAGGTGAATATCAGTTTCATCTCCATCTTCTGCAGGCAAGGAAGCGGAGACAAAGAGAATTTATAGATGGGAGCCTGAAGCTAGCAAAGAGTGGAGACAGGGCTTCAGTTTAGGCAACTGGAGTCCAGAGCCCCTGTGTGTAGTCCCAAAGCTCTGTCTCCCACATCCTTTCAGAGTGGCTTGGTTACTCTGTTGTGCAAAGGACAAGGCAGAATTTGGGAATCCTCTGAAACTCCCTAATTCTGGTGCTCCTGTAATCATCTCCCATGAACCCATCCCTCACATTTTGTGGTGAGGAGAATGTGAACTTTGACTTCCCAGACCTGGATAAGAAATCTCCTAGGTTTTTTTTTTTTTTTTTTTTTTTTGAGTAATTATGGGAACTGCACAGGTCCTCTGATCTTCCTTATCTTGACTTCCCCTTGGAAACCAGGTGATATGGTTTGGATCTGTGTCCCTGCCCAAATCACATGTCAAATTGTAATCCCCAGTGTTGGAGGTGGGGCCTGGTGGGAGGTAATTGGATCGTGGGGGTGGAGTTCTCATGAATGGTTTAGCACCATCCCCGTGGTGCTGTTCTTATGATACTGAGTGAGTTTTTGTACGATCTGGTTGTTTAAAAGTGTGTAGCACCTCCCTCCTTGCTCTCTCTTCCTCCTGCTCTGGCCGTATCAAATGTTTGCTCCCCCTTTGCTTTCCACCATGATCATAGGTTTCCTGAGGCCACCCCTGAAGCCAAGCAGATGCCAGCATGATACTTCCTGCACTGCCTGTCGAATCGTAAGCCAATTAAACCTCTCTATAAATTACCCAGTATCAGGTATTTCCTTATAGCAATGTGAGAACAGACTAATACAACAGGCATGGCCATCCCTGATAGGGATCTGGCGAGGCTTAAGTGACAGTGTGTGCATGGGTTGCTCAGAGCCCAGCCCACAGCTTTCCCCTCCTTCCTCTACCTTTGGACTGAGTGGCAGTGGCAGGGCTGAACACACTCTAGACATCATTGAATCCAGTCTCTAGACCTTAACTCCCTGGGGCATTGCCACCTGGATCTCGTTTCTCTCCCTCTTCCTCCCTTATTTCTTTTCTCTTTGTCATTATTATCATCATGGTCGAGTGTCCTCTTTGAACACCCTTCCTGATGCTGCCAGTATTTGCCAGGGGTTAGCAGGACCTAGATGAGCTGCAGCCCCCCGCCCCCCGCCCCCTGCAGGTGTGCTGGGCAGCACACCACCTAATTTCTCCAACTTCCAATCACGGTGTTTCTCAGCTCTCCTAGAACAGCATTGCTTAAACTTTCATGTTCATAAAATCCCCTGGAAACCATGTAAAAATGCAGATTCCAATCCTGGCTCTGGGGTGGGGCTTGAGAGACTCCACCTCTAATAAGTTTCCAGGTGATGCCAATACTCCTGGTCCACAGAGTGCACATTGAGTAGCAATGCCCTGGAATATTCTCTCCCATGCTATCTGACACATCTCTCAGGAAAGAGATTCTACAGCTGCTCCACAGTAGTCATTGTGTCTAGAGACTGTTTTGGTCCAATAGACCACTTTAAAAGGGAAATACAGGCCAGGTGTGGTGGCTCACACCTGTCATCCCAGCACTTTGGGAGGCTGAGGCTGGTGTATCACCTGAAAGTTAGGAGTTCGAGACCAGCCTGGCCAACATGGTGAAACCCCGTCTCTACTAAAAATACAAAAAATTAGTAGGGCGTGGTGGCAGGTGCCTGTAATCTCAGCTACTCGGGAGGCTGAGGCAGGAGAATCACTTGAACCCAAGAGGCAGAGGTTGCAGTGAGCCGGGATTGTGCCATTGCACTCCAGCCTGGACAACAGGAGTAAAACTTCGTCTCAAACAATAAACAAATAAAAACAGGCTGGATGCGGTGGCCACGCCTGTAATCCCAACATTTTGGGAGGCCAAGGCAGGTGGATCACCTGAGGTCAGAAGTTCAAGACCAGCTTGGCTAACATGGTGAAACCCCGTTTCTACTAAAAATACAAAAAAAAAAAAAAAAAAAAAAAAAAAGTTAGGCATGGTGGCCCATGCCTGTAATTCCCTACATGGGAGGCTGAGGCAGGAGAATTGCTTGAACCCAGGAGGCAGACGTTACAGTGAGCCGAGATGGTGCCCGTGCACTCCAGCTTGGGCAACAAGAGTGAAACTCCATCTCTAAATAAATAAATAAAACTAAAAGGGAAATATAAACATGCTTGGGGTGCAGACTTCGAGGCAGGGAGGCCCACATTCCATCTTATTCACCAATTACAACATATATGCTTTGGGATCAGTGGTTCTAACAGTGTGGTCCCTGGGAGCCACCTGAGTATCACCTGGGAGCTTGCTGAAAAGGCAGACTCTCTGATCCACCTTTAGACTCACTGAATCAGCCACTCTGCAGATGTGTCCAGCAACCTAGCTTTCGTGAGCCTTCCAGGTGTCTGAGAACCACTCCTTGGATAATTCTTAACATAAGGGGTCTCAATTCTGGTGACATGTAAGGGTCACCTGGGGTGAACTTTAAAAACATAGACCAATTATATCAGAATCTCTGGAGTGTAGAGACTGGGCATCCAAAACCAAAACCAACTTTTTGGCAGCCCAGTTTGAGAGCTACTGGTTTCACCTCTCAGATACTATTTGGCCATACCTGAATGGAGATGCGAATTCCTAATGCCAGCACAGTAGAAGGGAAGACACAGGGGTTAGCAGATGAGAAGCACCTGCCAGGGAGGACTTTCCAATAAGAAAGAACGCCTGTGAACCTGGCCCCAACTCCATTCAGATGGAGACTTGCTTTTTTCAAAGACGGCACTTGACTCTGACATTAATAATGACAGAGAGAAAAGAAATGAGGGAAGGAGAGGAAGAGGAAGAAACAAGACTGGGTTTGTGGCAATGCCCCAGAGACCCATAATCTCCATTGTTAACCTGCACATAGAGGGAGAGGTATTGTATCTCTTGATCTCTGCCATCTCTGCTTCACCTTCTATTGGGAAGTGGCTGTTGGTTTTCAACTATAAAGTTCCCTTGAGTGTTGATATTCCTAATCTAATGTTTACAAGGCATCTCAAGAAAAAACGTAAAACTGTTAGATCACCTTTCTAGCCCTAGACCACCTACCAAGAACCCGTCCTCTGCCGTGATGTTTTTGCTTTTTTATTTTTGCTGGATGTGTGAGCGTGCAGGGCTAGGGCTTCGGCTTCCTTCCTTCTTTCCTCCTCTTCGTCTCATGTCCACAGTCTGCTCTGGAGGAGCCACAGATATCAGGTGTGTGATTCATTCCAAGCTGTCATTTTCAGCAGCGCATTGGCCAGGTCCAGCTTTTCTTTCTTCCTTCTACATCCTCCCCTCGCGGTAGGGATGATGATCGAGGTAATGAAAACCCTCCACAGCCCTCTCTCTTTTCCCCAGCTCTCCTCTCCACCACTCAATAGGAGCTTTGTCTTTGCAAAGAGCAAACCTGAAACCCATCCGGCCCCAGAAATTGTTGTCTGCCGGCTCCTGTGCTATTTGGATCCTGACTCTGTTAGAGATCTTGTAATTTAAACTTCAACCTGCTTATTAGAAATTCGAAAGAAATTATCTAATAATATTTAAAATCTCAGGAAAAACAGACAAAGCCTCTTCTCGCCCATCCCCCTTCCTTTGCTTGTCTTGCACGTTTCCTTTTGGGTCACTCCAAGACCTGGGCTCCCTACATGGTGCTGGGAATTGATTCATCTTAAACAAATGTCATGAATCGCTCACCTGTTTCCAGGGTTCTAAGGGCAAGATGTGGCTGGCTGGAGTCCTTTTATTTTGGGGGAGGAACTGAAAGTACAGCAGTACAGCTCTGGTTTTCCTGTCCCCTTGGGTTTTCAGCTGAGAATTTCAGCAGTCTCATCTTCTAGATGCTTGGAACTGTTTATTCTGTGTGGTCAAAATTGAATTATTACTCTGACTAGTGTTGCTGCAAAAACAATGAGCTTTCATCTTCCCCACTTGCCCATTTCCTACTCCCTGACTCTTTGGAGAGCTGGCCTTTGTGAACCCGTGTGTGTGTGTGTGTGTGTGTGTGTGTGCATGTGTGTTTAGCAGGGAGTGGATTGAGGGAGCTGCTATTCTTTGTTCATTTCCCCTTGAGATGACAATTCAAATATTGTCATTCCAGGAATGGGCTTGATCCTGCCCTCCTCACCTCTGAGTCAGAAGGTACTTGTGCTGCCTTGAACAAGGAAGGATAGCTTTACTATTATGGGAAGAGTCAAAAGGTCTAGGTCACTGTGGCTCTGCCCAGGCTTGCTGTGTGGCCTTGAGAGAGTGGCCTCCACCCTCTGGGTTTATGTTCTTTTTTTTTATGGTAAAGGGAGTTTGGCCACTACAGCCCATTCCATCTCCAAAAGCCTGCATTTCCACACTAGTGAGCATCTCCAGAGTGGCGAACAACTTGCGTTTCCAGAGTCAGTGCCTAGACCCCTTGGCCCTTCTTCCCCAAATCTCAGATCCACTTTTCTAAGCTCTTCCATTAAGCTTCATCTCTTATATAAGGAGTAGAGGGGCGATCTAGAGATGGCAATGGGTTTGGATGCATGAAGGATAGTTAGTTCTCTAGGCAGGTGGATCTCCAAGAATGGGACAGGACCAGCAGGATTTGCATCACTGGGGAACTTGTTGTAAATGCAAATTCTTGGGTGAATAAGACATCTCAGGGGTGGGTCCCAAGAGTCCAGGTTTTAACAAGCCCTTTAGGTGACTCTAATCGATGTTCAAGTCTCAAGCCCACTGTTCTGGGCTCAGTCGGGAGAGGTCAGCAAGAGAATATAGACACAACCTGCATCTTTTTTGGTCCATTATGTATTCGGTACTTTGTTCTCCCATGGACAGGAGCAGGGCCATATCCTTCTGGAGAGGTCTGACATTCTCTGCATGAACTTAGGCTCTCTAAAAATCTTTTTTTCTTTTTCCTGGAAAAGTCGACTTCTCTCCACTCTGAGTGTGGCAGCCAGATTGTTTGGATTTGGGAAAATGGCTAAAAGTAGAAATACAAGAAAATAGATCAAATGAAGAAAATATAGTTTTCACTTGGGCCACATATTCAACTTCAAGTGACAACTTAGTGGCAATAGTCATTACTATTCCTCTAACATGTATTACCTGAGAAACCACAAGGCATAGCTGAACTGCAAGGCAAGTAGGTGCAGAAGAAGACATGCCATCTGATCCACAGTTCAATGCTGGGGCAACCTGACTCTGTTTCTGGCAGTGAGATGACATATGCCAGGAAGTTCCCTTCCTTGACTCAGAGCTAAAAGCTTCTCTCCCAGGAACTGA